GTTGCCACCTGATAAAAAAATTAAATTCAAATTATTTTTAAGTTAAATGAAAAGGCCTTATTTCTTAATTATATGTAGTAGTGTTGCCACCTGTTTCAAAAAGCAAGGTCGACTTAAATAAAGGCCGATAATTAAAATGTATATCCTGATATGGATGTCAGATGAAAGAGGTTGTGGTTCTAAAATATTTTGCAGAGGGTTGCCACCTTGTTACAAAGTTAGATTCAAGAAAAGCAATATGTTAAATAAATTACTTCATAATGAATATAAATAAAAATGGCTCTAAAGAAACTTTATGTATTTCCAAACTACATGTAAGGGGGTTGCCACCTGATTTTATAATTAATTTAATTTGAATTAAGAGTATTAGATAATTTGAATATGTACCACAGTGTCGGACGAAAAAGGTTTACAAATAATTTGACCAGGATTACCATCGGTTTGAAAAGGCGAATTAAATAAAATTATATGAAATATTGAAATATTTGCGCAGACACAGCCCGCGGGTCAGGGCGAAGGTGCTGGACTGATGCTTTTTTACTTCATTGAATGAATTTAGTAAAATGCCCTTCTAATTTTTTCGAGAAATAAAACAAATGTTGTGTTATCCTGCAGCAAAGATCTCATCACATAAAGTACTCCTAAAAAATTAAATTATACCTCCTTAGCCGTTTTAAAAGTTGACAAGCCTAGTTGGCACATAAGAGAAATGACTGGCTTGCATTGTTGGACTCGGCCAGAAACGCTTAAGGTCTAAAGTTATTGATGCGGCGAGCAAAGCGAGGAGCTATCATCAAGCAAAGCTCCAATAACAAACGTATATGTACGCTTTGCTCTTCACTTTTCGCTCTCCTATTGAAATATATGCTTTTGAAATCGACGCTTTGCTCGATGATCTTTGCTCGCTGCTCCACTATGTTACAGCACCAATCAAGAAGAAGAGGAGGAAGAAGAAGAAGAAGAAGAAGAAGAAAAGGAAGAAGACGAAGAAGAAGAAGAAGAAGAAAAGGAAGAAGACGAAGAAGAAGAAGAAGAAGAGGAAGAAGAAGAAGAAGAAGGTATATTTTTCGACCTTTCTCAAAATTTCATACATTTCTTTATATTTTCTGCATTGAGTCCAAGCTCCAATATTTGAGATTTTGCGCTAAAAATGTACACAGAGCTTTTATTTAACCTTTCAGCAAAAGCTGGAGCAAATTTTTTTTTATAATTTGTTTAAAAAAAAAACCTAAGGTAAAGTCGCCCTTGCCCATATGATTATCATGTGCTAAGAAATAGTTTTTCCGATTTTCTGACAAACGTATTATTTTGAGTTGTGACTCTTTTGAAGACGGTGTGCGATATGTATAAACAATAAGTGAGTAAAAAGCTTCAATAAATGTTTAGAGGACTTGAAACCACAACCAGCTATTTTTTTACACTGCGAAAATTCATAAGACGACCTTTAAGGTAACTTGCGAAAGCCCTTTATATATTTTTAGCCTTTTAAAGTTTACGAAATACAACTATACGACAGTACTCAACCCCCTGTAAACTCCCTAAATGTATCCAGCCCTAACCGCCAAAATAACGTAAACGACATTTGTTTTGTTTTTATTTTCTTTTCGATGCAGAAATGCACCTAGATTCTAGATGCTCTAGGAATATTTCTGCATCAAAAAGAAAATTTTGAAATAAATTTCGTTTACGTTATTTTGGCAATTTTGGGCTCGATATATAGAACACAAGTATACTTGTGCAAAAAATTTTACAATAAACCGATTATGGAATAAAAGCACAAGTCAGATATACGAGCATAAGAACACAAGTGAAGTGAGAATGAACCGTTTTTCACGAACCGAGATGTGCTGTGCTAACAGCAATCAATTGGAGATGTGCTATTCCTCTCTCGCTAATTTTGCGTTAACCCTTGAACAATTTCTGCAAAATTTTAACACAATACGAAATCGAATACGGAGATTCCAACCATCGTATTGAACTCGATTTTGACATAACTCAAGATGTGCTGTTATGCCTTGTGACCAAAGATATGTAGCTCATATTCGGACCTTTTTTGTTCTACTGAATTCGTTATGTTCTTTGTGGTACTGGTAAAATGGTAAAATGTAATGAAAAATTTTTCGTAGTACTCGTGTCAATGGGCTTTGTTGACCCTTTTTTGAAAAAATTTTACAAAAGTTAATTACAAATGGCTATTAGGAAGTTAAACTGTTTCACCAACGTTGCGTTGATATTGCTGCATATGTATATACTTAACGTATTATGATTCTTCTCGTTTATTGAAATACTTAAGACATCACTTTTATTTATGGTAGGTAAATCCCCACAATGTTTTCTTTTAGTTAGAACTAAGAGCATTCCGCAGTGATTCTCTTGCTGTGTAGACGTATTCAGTACATGCAAACAATGTAGCTTGTGTCACACACTGGACACTCCTTGTCCCATCAAGTGAGAACAAGCAGACATTCTGATCCGCGCATTTAGTTACGCTTTAATAAGATAGTATGTTTTTATTTAAAAGTGCACACGCACGCAAACACCAACGGTGTACATACAACCGCAAAGCTCATCAGCTACAACACAGCCGGACAACGCTGTGCATTTGCCATATTTTCCAGCGCTTAGTGCCTACAATAACTTTAAGTTGCAACAACTTGTGTACAATTGCTGCCACATGCGTAACGAAAGTTTCAAGCGTGCCTGCAAAAAGTGGCAAACGCAAGAAAAAAGTGCGTACTTGTGCGCTCGCAGTGTGGTGAGTGTTTGCACGCGTATTTGCATTGTGCATGTAGTAGCGAGGATATGGCATGCATTGTAGCAAATCTTGTTGGTGGCGCTTAGGTGCGTGCGAGTTGCAGTGGATTGCCACACATTTTTTTTTGTTTGCTTTTGCATATGGGCATTCCCATGGTGGCGCACGTGACAGTCGTACGATTTCAAAAAAAGGAATACCATTTGTTTTCTTTAACTTTTTTGAGCCATTGTATAGCACATAATTAGCTCTATATTTATCCGAAAAATGAAATCAATCGAACTGCTTGGTCCTGAAATATAAACATTTAAAGAGAGGGTCATTACGTGACAAAAAATGGAAGTTGATTTTTTCTTTCCTTACAAAATCGCAAAACTCTGCGAATTGTGGATGGCTATTTTCATGAAACTTAATTTAATATGATTTGGAGCAATTCTAGTTGTTTTTAGAGTTTTTTGAATTAATGTAAATTGTTTCAATTCTCTTTTACAACCCCAAGTGTGAAACGTGACGTGACGTGGCGTCACGTGACATAAATTTCCATCGTTATATTTTTGTTAATATTGCTTTTAAATAAATTTTCAACACGAATAAAACATGTATTTTATGTAGAATATACTTTATATTTTGACTTCAGCGCCAATTCAGGGTCAATTTATTAGAAATCTATGATTTTTATGTTTCAACCACATACGTCAAATTCGAACCAAATCGGACCATAAATACGGTTTTTCGAAATATCTCGAACTTGGCACCACCTAGGAAGACCATTTTATGCAAACATGATTCTACTTACATAGCCAGTATATATTTTAGAAAGCAGACAAATCGGCCCGTAAATACGTTAGATATAAAACTTTTATTTTTTTTTGTCGTGGTGGACCTTCCGCTGGAAACACCCATATACATATAGTACATCACATAACTTATGCCTTATGAGCTACTTCACCTTTGCATTACGGGTGGTGCCAACGTACTGACGCCCACAACTGTGGCATTTTGACCAAGTAGAAAAAATACAATACTTATGCACATACAAATGGGTCAGTCCATGTCAAATGGACCATTCTTGATTTGAATAAATATTGGTCAGAACCTTTCCTTGTATCACATAAAAAAGTTCTGCTCGGGGGTTCACAATTCACAACTGCCCGGATTTCGAAAGTGTATTTTTTGAAACTTTTCTGAAAAACTGTTATAGTTATAAAATATGGCTCTGATCTCGTTTTAAAGATGACATTTGGGGCCATATAAAAAAAAAAAAACAAAAAAGAACAAATAAAATAAAGAACAATAACGAATTTTAAAATTAAAAATCGTAAAAGCCAAAAATTGCAAAAATTTTTGGATCGAATTTTTATATACAATACCTTTAACTGATCTTATAGTATCCTGGAAATTTTAAAGGGGTGTCTTTTAAGATATGATTTTTTTTCAAATACATTTGTTTGCAAACTCTTAATTAAAAATAAATTTAAATTAAATACAAATTCTTTACATAACCGATTCTTTAAAAAAATCTCCTTGAAAATTTCGGGATCTTTTAAGATAGTTGGAGGTATTTACCAAGAAAATTTGCCAAACATTTTTATAATCTTTTAAATTTCAAAGATCTGTAAATTTTTTACTTTTCGAATTTTTATAAATTATTACTTTATACCCTCAAATTTCACCTTTAAACCGTGATCAAAACAATTTTTGTAACTACATATACAAAACAACAAACAACAAATTCCGGCGTTGAGAAATTTGGAGCTTTCGAAAAAAAAAATGTCTTTTTTCCGTTGGCAGAAGTTCGTTATATCGCACACTAAATCAAAAAGCGTCACAACTCAAAAAATGTGAAATGTTCAGGAGAGGCAAAAAACTGTTTTTGCAGACATGGTTGCAATTTTATAATCAAATAAAGTTCCAAATGATATTAAAGCCTGTAAAGAGCTGATTTAGAAACAGTTTTTTTAGTTCTGTTCGGTAGTTTTGGCAATACGAGCCAATTTAGACTTGTGACTCTTTAGTTGAAATTTTTTAGTTGGGTTTATGGTATTAAG